AATTGTAGGGATAATGCATGAAAACGTCATCGCTTGTGTTTTTATTTAATTGAATTAAGCTTTATGCCCCTAAGTGAATTTGTCTTTCCAGTGCCATTTAAGTTTTTTTAAGATCTATGTACTACACTGTAGGATTCAGAACTGATCTACAAACTACAATAAACAGAGGGCGATGATTGCCTATTGTTTTTCCAATGTTTAGTACATTTCTAAAATTGTTACTCAACACCGGTAAAACTGAGGTTCTGTTGTTTGGCAGCAATACTGATAGGACTACTATAACTTCAGCACTTAACTCGGAGGATTTAAAAACCTGCCTCAAAGACTCAGCATGTAACCTAGGCGTCATGTAAGACACAAGGCTCTCGTTTAACTCTCATGTTAAAACAGTATTGAATACATAAAGAGTTAAGAAATACTGCAGTTAAGAAATACTGCAAAACGAAGGCAGTTTCTTTCCACTCAAGACAGAGAAATTAATACATGCTCTTGTATACAGCAGGTTAGACTACTGCAATGCCCTACTATCAGGGAGCACCCACCTCTCTTTCACCACCAACACCTTACAGCAAATTCAGAATGCAGCAGCTAGAATTGTTACTGTAACCCCCATACTTAGCTCTCTTCATTGACTTCCCGTCAGGTACAGGACGGACTTCAAAATCCTTCTACTTACTTACAAGGCTCTCAGAGGTCAGGCACATGTCTATCTAATGGAACTGATTAATGTATACAATCCAAGTCGCCCTCTTAGATCACAGAATGCAGGTCTTCTTCATATTCCATGCATTGATAAAATAACAGTTTAATTACAGAGCCCCTAGCTTATGGAACAGTCTCCCACCCCATATTCGGGAAGCCAAGTCAATCTCAGTATTCAAATCCAGACTGAATGCTGCATCACTGCCATGGATCCAAGAGGGACATCGTGGATATAGCTATCGTTTAGGAGGATTTTTCTGGTCTACAGAGATCTGCATGGAGTACTGACATACAGAAGACATGATGGATGGATGGATTAATACCCTCATTCATTTATTTCCTTTTTTTAAATTATATAATGTTAGCATACCCAAAGGGGTTGGGCAGCCAGTTGACCTTGGACCCCTAGAGGTTTTGTTTCTCCTTACTAAGGAGTTTTTGGTTCCTCTCCTCCGTTGTCTTCTGGTCTTTTCTGTTCTGTATTCACAACATGTATGATCACTTGCATATAGCACCTTGGGGCAACCTTGTTGTGAAAGGCACTATATAAAAATAGCCTCTGAGAAACTGTCAGTGCCACAGATGGCGCCCCTCTGTCTTGGGCCGCATATAAACATTCAGGAAACATACCTGAGCAGAAGCTTCCTGTGCAGGTGAACATGACTTTGTAATCATCACATCGTCTCCTCTTCTGCTCAGAATTCAGACAGATGAAGCCTTCTGTGCAGTTAAATCTGGGAAACAGGGATGAGCCAAATGGAGTTTATAACAGGTCAGGAGGAACTCTCAAATGAATCGTCATTAGGAGTTGACCAAACTACTGAAAAAGGATGATTGTGCAATTAACTGTAAAAAAAAACACTAACATTTTGGGATTCATATAGTTTTTTTAATACAGCTTCCCAACAAATCCTTGCCAAAGATATTTCAGATGACGCCCACAACATTCCAACTAGCAATGATTTGACAGTCTCCATCAACAGCCGATTCATGGAAGGAAAAACTAAGCCTGTTTTTGTACCTAATTAGGAGCAGCCAGCTGGTGAGAGCTTAGATGTGTCTTTGTTATGATCATTTGCGACCTCCAGGGAAACGGCATATACTGTAAATCTCAACCCTTTGAATGAATGTGAGCATAAAATATGACACAAATGTCTCCCCAAAGCCAGTAACTCCTAACCTCGGATGTGAATTTTGTAGAAACCAATGGCCTCAAGTCATCAATCCAAAAGTGTCAATAAACATCTCGGCCTGTTGCTACCTGATGTGGAGTTTCATTCAAGTGGCGTCTGGCTTAATAAATGAAACCTGAATGAGAGTGGATGGGAAGCCCCCACAAAGACAGGCCCGAACCTGTTGAAGGTGTTTAGGGTTTGGTAGGACTTAAGTCCTGAGATTGTCTGTGCCTCCATGTCCACTGGATTCTCGCAGATGTGATCCCCATGGTTCCGCTGGAGGTCCGCCAGGAGCTCCTTGTCTCCTAATATGGTCACATCCCCATCATCAAACCAGCCTGTCCTGCAGGCTTAGAGACAACAGGACCTTTAATGTTGATTTGGCTGAGGAACCTGGGCTATCTTACACACAGTAAGGTCTATATACAGTAACTATAATATAACATATAACATATAACATATAACATATAACATATAACATAACTCATTGCCTTTTGACTCAGTCTCCTGCAGCGGTTAGTTTGCGTGGGCTACAGGGTGGTATTTGCCGTTCTGTCTTCAAACAAAGTCCACTTTCTCCGTGAATATTTCTGGGTGATTTTTGATCCATGTGATCAAAACGAAACAAACTAAAAAAAATTAAATTAAGTATGGTGAATTTAATAACTGCTTGGTTAGAATTTAAGAACAGCATGCAGCAAGGGCCCGCGAGTAGCAGAACTGGGAACTTTTTGTGCTCCCTTGTCCAAAAAACCCCCCAAAACGATAAATGTTTGTTGGAATAAGAGATCTCAGCAACAAAACTACCAGGCTCCATTCTTCAGTACAAGTATAATATGGGCCAAAAGTGTTAAAAGCAGATGTATAAGTAATAAATCAAAATAAAGATCTCCTGGAAAAGTATGTGAGATATTTTATTTATTTATTTATTTATTTTCGTCACAGACGAAATATTTCTTTGAAACAAAGTGAAAGGTTAAAAAACTACCTTTTGCCTAAATAATTGCTCTGAGTACATTTTCTGCCAGTATGTTTTTGCAGTGCATTTCATTGCAAAAGTACTTCATTCCAGTTGCTTTAAAGCCGGTTTCCTTTTTTTTATAACATCTGTCTATCTACTAAGTTTGTGCACCAAAATTGTAAAATACAAAAGATCCAGGGACTTTGGAGAGGACAGATCTCATCTTCAAGGACTTCCTGCCTCTCTTTGTTCTGACAATTCAGAGGCTTTGGGCTGCAAACGTTCTGCAGATCTCTGGCCTGCACTGTTAATCTCTCCAGAGCTGTTGAAGGCCTCTCAGGTCTTGTTAAAAACAACGGACAGGGGAGATCCAGGAATACATTGTGGAAAAACACACCACTGATCCACGAAAACACGTTTTGCTCCAGTTAGAGAAATTCATTTAGACGTCGCGCACTGATTGGAATAATGTCTATCAAGGGAAATCATTTTTCAAGACAAACTCCCATAACTTAAAACACATGTATGCTTTTCTAGCCTTTTACACATCCAGGTGGTTTAGCTTTCTGAATAATACGGCATGAGAGCACAACAAATACATTCACAAGTTTATTTGTGTCAATAGACCTATAGGTATGAAAGTGATTAATATGTCCTACTACTGTAATGTATCATGTAAGATAAGAGATAGAGATCACTTTATTGGCCATATGCAATTTCTTGCAATTTGTCTTTTCACAGACCCCAGCTTGCTCTCCATGAGACACAGACAGGGAGAGAAGCTTGGGGTCAGAGCGCAGGGTCAGCCATTTATACAGCACCCCTGGAGCAGCTGGGGTTAAGGGCCTTGCTCAGGGGCCCAACGGCGTAGGATTAATAATAATAATAATAATAATAATAATAATATAATAAACTATTTTATATAGCGCCTTTAAAGGTGGCTTCTCCCGGAAGATTCCTCTGCCGGTCGCGGGATTTGAACTGGCAACTTTCCAGCCACAGGCGCAGTGCCACCACTCCACCTGTATACTATGTATGTCCATTTCTGTGTGTTTACAGCCTCACCTGATGGCCTGTATTTTGAAGTGTATCTAAAACACTCCCTTGCTTGACAATGATTGCCTATATTGACTGTGCTCTGACACCAGCTCTTAAATGTTACCCTACTCTGGTCAGCAGCTCCCTGCTGTCCTAGGAAACACTGTATTTGTGCTTCTGACTCCTTCACTCCACACAATAACTGCATTAACTGAGTTCACTGAGCCAGAAAGCCCACTGCAGAGCTCTGATCTGACAGGATGCCAGCTTTCTGACTGGATGTCTGATGCCAGCTTCAGCTGGCAGAGTATACTGATGTTTTTTGGGACGTTGGCTCCAGATTTGTAGGTCCGAGCTTGGCAGGCCACCAGCGTCATGGTCTGTTGGACTCTTTGGTCTTTCAGAAAGCAAGTTTGATCACTCAGTGGCTTCAGAGGGACAACACCATAGAAGCCAATAAACATAGGAGACCTTTTTGCCCATCAGATTGGTGGTTCTATATAGTCCGAAAGGCCAATACTGGCTGTTCTAGGAATAAGAGCCAAGTATTTCACCCTTGCAAACTGAGGAAAAGGTTACAATCTACATTGCCCATCGGACTTTACCAACCCTCTATTGAGCCGATTTTCAGCTTGACATAAAGAAGGAAATACTTACTGTCTTCACGAGGGCTGATAGTTAGCAAATCTAAAATATAAAGTTAAACACATTAGTCACAAACAGTAGGGCCAAATGATTCAAGAGGCCTTTTAATTGCAGTGAAATGTCAAAACTGTTGTTCTTTATTTAATTTGTATAAATCGCCTTGTCATCATTGATCAGCCAGCTCTTTGCTGGACAGAAATCAAACTTCAAGAATGTGAAAAATGGTGAGAGTTTTTATTTTTTTTGTGTTGTCTGCAACATGAAGCGTTTATCCATTTTACTGTTCTCAATGCCTATTGAACGTACTAATTCTAAACTACAAACTCTTTTGTAACAACCAGAAATCTGAAATACAACATTAAAACTTCATAAATACATGTTTAGGCAAAAGATGGATGTTTTGTTTATTGATCTTATAATTAATAAATTATGATTATGAACTAGTATAAATAAAAGTTCTACATAATAAATGTCATAAAATACTGAAAGAAGCCTTTAATTCCTCAGTACTTTTAGTTTTACTTTCAAAAAATTATATTTTCAGGAAATTACAACATTTCGACATCTACTCACCAGCCAAGTCGATGACACAGGAAACCAAAACAACCTGCGAGAAGGAAAGACAGAATTAGACCGGAAATGAATTCTTCCCTGTACAGCAGAGACCCCACAGCCCTACAGTAGTAGATTTCAATTCACAAATTGATGATATAGTTGAACAACAGTAGGAGCACCAGTGACAGTAAGATCTGCATTCCTGAAACAGCAGGAGCCAAAAGAATAACGCTATGATGACTGGTGACCGTAGTGATCAGGTGTTCACATTTTTGCTCTGGTTTAACTTTTGATTGTTGTGAGGAGTGAACGTTGTTACACCCCCACAGAACGGGATGTTGATGTTGATGATGAGATGATCTTTAAAATGCAGCCTCTCGAAGCGCTTTGAAAAACATGCTGAAGCTTATATTCTGGAGTGGCATTGAGCACGGGTTCACTTTCTCCATCTGTCATGATGGCGTCACGTTTGAAGTATGATTGGTGGGCGTTTTATGTTTAAATGAGACGTTGCTCTCACACCCCTTGTCCTCCACAGCAAGGCCAATGAAAAGGCCTGCGAGAAGCGGCTGATCCACAGGAGTGCAATGCTGCCCTCTAGTGTCCAATAATACGACTACAAGTAAATTCGCTAGGAGCGGCCACCTAGAGCACGAAGTTGAACTTGAACTTGAACTTTATTGCCATATGTACAGTAACCGGTCCATGTACTGGTACAATGGAATTCTTACTTACAGAAAGTCTCTCGATTGTTAAAAAAAGTGTAAAAACACTAAGTGCAGACAGTGCATCAACACAATATACAAACAAACAGTAGACAATGTACATGTAGACAGAAAGTTTGCACATCACATATTGTAGAACTTCACAACAATTCAACACAGACAGAAACCCTGACAAACTGTTCTGACTTTGTGTCATTTCCAAGGAAAGGAAGGGCTGGGACTCTGGACTCAACCGGAGAAGGTGCTAGTCGAGTTCTAGGGCACAGACTTTGGAAGTATGAGCCTACAATGCAATTTCCTGAGCGTTGTGAACCACCGTGAACAGGACTGGGCTTCATCGACACCCGATGAAACTGTGCCCCCTCTTTGATTTCCCAGCCTGCCGCAGGTCAATGGAGACATCAGATCAGGTCACCCCTCTCCTCCGATTGTCACCGAACCTTCTCTGTGTCGCCACAGAGCTCGCAGTTTGTCCGAAGATAAACAGGACAGAAGGTTGTGGAGTTCGTGTGTATTTCTGCCTTCTCCCCATGTGACCACAGAGTTTTACTGCCACCCCAGACTGGGGGGATTAAACATTCAGAAAAAGAAGGAAATATCGGCAATTATAAGGAACACGCATGGCTAGTCTTCTGCCTGGACACTCAGAAATCAGGGTCTTAAGGTTTGGGTTTAAGGTGAGATCTGAATTAATTCAGCCCTTGATTGAACAATGCTCTTATAAAGACCTTGATATGGGTTCCATTCCTAAGACTTTGCAAAATGTTTGCAAAGTTGCTTATGATAGTTAAGAGGAAAACAAGTTTAGAGCTAATTTAGCTAAAACAAATCTTGACAAGTTACAAAATTGGGTCTGTCTAAACCTACTGATTACATACAGTACCAATGACAAAAAGCCCAGCTGCAGCAAAAGGGTCTTTAGCAGAAAGTCTTCTGGGGAAGTAAAATTCTGTAACAGGAGGCTCTGTTGTCTGTTAATGAAGAATGGTGTGTTCTAATTTAGTGGATCACTAATGTCATCAGTTTCATCCACAACTGAAAAAGTCCTTTGACTAATTAAGTGTTGTTTTTTGTAAACAGCAGCTACATCTAGTGGGAAATCCACTTTGTTTTGGTTTTTCACGTTTTCGACAAGATAAAACGGTTATTTACTGCTAATTATTGACTTTTTCATATTGAATTTCTCACGATGGAGGGTGCTGCTCTGCTATGGCAAATAAAAACAGGTCCTTTCTTCCTGCTTTGTCATTACTTTGTCCTCTTAATAAAAATGCAAAAAAATGTTATTTAAAGATTTGGCATAGGGGCACATCAAGGTAAAACAAGAGCAAAGAACAGAATGAATCAGGCACTATGTATACATATAAACCACTGAAGCAAATTTCACTGACTCAGATTTCTAACCCACTTAATTAAAATAATATTTACCTTGTCACTCAAACTACAATTGTACAACTTTCCAGGGTGCTGTGTGACAAAGCAAGTTTGGAACTCAGCAAGAGATTACAAAAATAACTAAGATGGGAAATTACATTTATTTGTAAGAATCAGCGGATTTTGTTTTAACTTTAGAGTTCTAACATCTAAACAAATCGGTTGTGCTCTGTCCTTCATGACCTTGAGTCAGAAGATAATTCAGGTGTCACACAGAGGGTTTGGAAAATTTTGATCTCCGATCTTGTGTATAAATGTCAGTTCATGCATAGAACCCTCAGTGTTTTAATAATTTATATACAAGAGATGCACGTTAAGGGAAATCTATCAGACCTACTCTATGGACTGATTAACAGCTATTATTGTTATATGCCAAAAAATAGCACAGATGCTAACTGAGTGAAAGAACAAGTAACAACATGATTTCATAAGAACTTATGAACTTATAAATAAAATAAATGATTAACTTTCACTTACATTAAAAAAAATGTTCTTTCAACATTGTTAAACATTTCAATGTCCACATATTTAAGTTAAAGAATTAGGCATAAATTGTCACATCTAAAAGAAAGGAAAAGTGTCTTTTAGTTAAAGACTGATTTGTGTAATTTGCAGTAAAATATTCTTTACCAAACTGCACAAGATCTCTTTTACTAGTCATGGTATAGCGATCCAGAGATCTACATGTATTCGTTTAATGTCTTTGGTAACTGCTGAGCTGTAAAACAAGAGGCAACCAGCACATGATGTACTAACTATATTATTGCAGTATAAGTTATACAAATCCACTATAAAGAAAAATTCATACCTGAATTATCATGGCATTCAGGAATTCCTGGACCTGGTATTCTTTCTAAAACATAAGAACACACCCTGTTACTTGAGTGCGGCACAGAAGCACTGGAGATCTATAAGTGTTCTCTGATATGTCCACAGACACTGGTGTATGACAGTCTAAAGAAGCAGACTCACGACACCTCAGTCCTTTTTCAGAACTTGTGTTGATCTGCAGGTCGGTGATCTCACTTTAATGTGGCAGAGTCCCAGCTTCTTTTGCAGACCATGAGCTCTCACTGTCAAATCACACCAAACACTCCGGCAGGTGACCCGCAGATTTGTAAAACGCCTCTTGCAAAAGATTTGAGCTCTTGAGTCTTGTTATAGAATCCTTGGATGTGAAAAATAACCAAGGAAAATTATCCAAAACTCTTGGAAAAATAAGTTTTTCACAAAGCCAGGAGGCACAGTGGAGTCTGTGTTGTCGGCTGTCACTAGTAATAACTGTAGAATACTGTATGTCATTTTAAATATGCTAATATTTTTCTTTGATAATTTTTTACAATAGAAAATCTCCATCTTAAAATTCAGTTCAGCCACAACATCTCCACACCTATGACATACAGAAACCCTGCAGAAATTCTGTACACATGTTAAATTTCTACTTCAAAAGCTACAGTATTAACCATTATTAAGGTCAATATGTGTAATTCAAAATATAAAACAGTATATTGTTCATTTTGAGAATTCGAATTAATTACTCAAAGACACACGGGACTTCTTATTCATATTTCAATTTCTTCTATTCATGTCCTTACTTTATTTTTCAATAAAAAGTAAACGAAAGGTATTTCACTAAAGAGTAAACACCAGTAGTCATTACTTTGTGTAAAAACAAAAACTGTGTGTCTACTGTGCCACTACTGAAAAGACAACAGGACCTGAGAGACCTAAACCACTGATACACTAATATATGTCCAGCTTAATTACACTGATTTGAAAAGGTATGTAGAAATGAGAAAAACACAACTGTATTTCTGCCTTTAAATATACACATACAGTAATTAGCCATTTTTATCAGCGTGTAGTAGAAGCCTCATTTACCTGCACTATATTGAATCTGAATTTCTGTGAATTAGTTTCTTGGTAATCATTTGAATTAACATAATGTACATTCATTTGAAGAAGCCAATATTTGGAAGCCATTAGAAGCTTACTGCTTTGGACATTTTAATTTCAGATGCAGATCTAATACAAATAAAATGTGACATGGTTCCAATTATCAAAGAATGATGACGATTTCTTTCTTCATCACCTGAATTCAATCAGTTACTCATCTTTCTCTGAGACAAGAATGAAACCTCCCATTTCATCATCACATTGGAACATTTGGAAACAGTTCACAACACACAGAAGTCCAATTAGATAGTGATTTCTTAGAGAAATTACAGTGTATCTAATTTCTGTCACATACTGTACCAGTTAATTCTGCTAGCTCTATATTTTGTAGTGCAAAAGGTAGCCTTTTAGGTTTATGAATGGTGTGAAGGATTTCTGCCAATAACTTGATCAGCTACAAATAACACTTAATACTGGGTGCTAATGGCTGCTTGATTTGTTGTGATGAGGTTTTTGAAGATTATTATCAATGTGAATTAAAGATGCCATCTGGCAAGCTTGGGTGAATGTCTTGCTGAAACTGAACTGAATCAGTAACTGTCAACACTAGAAAACATCCGCAGAGCAACAGTTGTCAACTGCTGGCCCTCGTTATATACAGATATTGTATCTCTTGACTGTCATAAAGACGTATTCACATCATTACAGGCATTTAATTTTTTTTTATTATTTAATAATGCAGTGGAAATGTTCTTCTGCCCCACACCCTGAATTCCCAACAATGAACCTGTGGAAAATCCAGGTGGTTGGGACAGAATTAAAGGGCAAAAGCCAGGAATGAATGAGAATCCCACTGCAGAGCAAAATGATCCACTTCAGTTATTTCCCAGCTACAGACAAGTTGTATTGATAAAGCAGGAGAGTTATTATTTCTATTACATATCAATGCAAGTTCCCTTGAAGAAACAACCTTAATCCTCCACTAGACCAAGATGGATCAAAGTGCTATGCAGCTAGATTCTATCGATCGACACGGCATGAAAGCAGGTGCTCGTTAGTTAAATGCTAAACGTCCTCACAATTCTCTGTATGGTAAGGAAAAACAGCACAATGAAAAGACACAAATTTCACAATAAGACCGAATCTCTGTACTTTTCATGATACTCACTTGAAATATGAAGATTCAGCTGATTGGTAGGGATGCTTCAACTGCGTTCTTTAGAAAGAGACCCTTTAAGAATGTTACATGAGATGCGAGTGGTGTTTTTGTTCAACACAAAGCTAGAAAACAAGCTCGTTATCTAGTCAGGAGCAGACCAATAGCATTTATGGAGCACTAAGTAGGCAGTAATTCTATCTGAATCTGGTTTATCGCTGGACAGTCTGTAACCACACCCTGACCTTGAGAGAATCCAGTAATTGAACATGTATTATGACTGTCAGTAAGAGCTGAATGGGCCCTTCTTAGGTGCCTTAATAGGCTGAACAATGTTTGTCTCGTTCTCCTCCCCTCGTCATGCTTTTCTCATGAAGTTCAGATTTCTGCTTAACTCTGATGCCGTCTGAGTACACATTTCTCTTTAAATGGCAGGGGCTTGATCCCCCAAATTATACTTTTTAGGTCTGTTTGTCATGTTTTCTCTTCTGAGCACGAAAGAGGAATATTTTCATTCAGACTGTTTGCAATAACCCCAAGTGGTTGGAGATCAAGCGGTATAGCACAATCTCACTGCTTCTAGAGGCCTCCAAGATGCTGCTATAAAGTCCTCAAATTCCTTTCCTAAGACAGAGGTCCTGGCCGTATGTAATTACCTATGGATAAGGTTATCTGTATTTGCTCTGATAATTGAGTGGCTTTGGTTGTCCCACGATTCAGCTAAGAGATGGAAAACAAGTTGTCAAGATATGCTAAAATCATTCCCTGCTGTGACCCTTCCGATACAAAACAGCAGAATGGCAAGGCCAGGTCTTCATGAAGTCAACACGTCAGTCTCATTCAATAATACGCTGTGTTCATGAAATAATCCAAGGCACGGAAACAAAGAGTTCACTTCTCAAGGGTGTGGAAGTGGCTCCGGCAGTAAAGGCGCTGTTTCCGAGGTCAGGCTGAACCCAGAGGCCCAGGCCCCGCGGGAACAGGCCTGGGTCGTGTCACTGGCCGACCCTGACCAGGACTCCTGGTCTCCCAGGACTTGGACTAATTGACCTGAGCTCCTCCAGCTCACAGAGAAATTGTGCCCCTGTAACTTGTGGGGGTATGGACAAGGGATGTCAGCACTGAAGCCCTTCCTCCTGACGACCTGTGATACGTTAAAGATCAACAGCAGCTTGTCGTCTGTATGGGAGGTGTTACAGGGGGTGGTCAGGTCAGCCCAGTCCATCACTGGAGCACAGCTCCCCTCTCTTTCTGACATTTTCACAACTCGCTGTCTCAGGAAGCCTGGAAGTATCGCAAAGGATTCCAGTCATCCTGGTTTCTCATTTTCCTCCCTGCTTCCCTCTGGGAAGCGTTATAGGAGCATAAAGGCACGAACTTCCGGATTGAGAGACAGTGTCTTCCCATAAACTGTCAGATTACTGAGCTCTAACCCTACCACTGGTGTGTTTTTTTTCAAAGATGTATGTTGTTTAACTTGTTGTTGCTGCCACTGTTCTGTGTTTATGTTTTTGGTGTTTCCTTAATGTCTTTGTATTGGAGCATACATGCAAATACATTTCACTGCACTTGTGTATATGACAATAAACTGAACTGAATTGAAGAGCTCAAAGGTGGGCAGGTCACAGTAGCCTGTCTGCTATTTATTCTTCCTGTGTGAGGCTGCAGCATTTATTGCTGTGAGTCAAGACATGAAAGACAAAATGTAATGGGGCAATTCTAAATTACAGCAAATGTTGTACAGCAAAAGATGTTCTAAGTAAGCTGCTATTTACTGCACTAATTCTTTGCTGAAGAAGAACTTCTCTGATCTCAGCTCTTAATGTTTAAAGATTTCAGGTTAACTTTACAGTTTCCTACATGCCATTACTGACCATTGAAGAGCTGAAAAGTTTGATTAATGCTTGAGAAAATGAAGAGCTCAGACAGAACAAAATCCAGGTCAGACAGAGTCTGGGAAACATAAGATATGGAAAAAAAATGTTCTTTTGTCTCCTGTGAAGTCATTCAGAAAAGGTAGCACTGGCCCAAAAACACAGGACTTTACCAGACTGAAATGTTTTCCGAAGCTCAAGATTGCAGTTTTGGCAGAGCAGAGGGGCATATCACGTCTCTTTACCGTAAAACATAATAATCTGCATTAGAAAAGGAGACCTACAAATCTGGGAAGCAGACTTCAATCCCTTCTTTAAAAAGCAAACATATTCACCCCCTTTGGACTTTTTCACATTTTATTGTTTTCTTGGACATGCAAGCTCCCAGACAGGTGTATTCATTCTGAAATTATGTGAAACACCTCTACTGCACACAGGTGGACTCCAATCCAGTAACTCTGTGACTTGGAGAAGAGAGTTGGTGACTTCAGAGGTAATTTAGGTGTGTCAAAGCAAGGGGGTGAATACTTATGCATTCAACTATTTTCAGTTTTTTTTAATCAATTGAGTAAAATGTCTGAATCTCTGGATTTAACCCCCCACGTTGACAGAACGGAGTATTTTGTGGCGACGAGTGGCAAACATTCTCAGTTAAATAGATCAGGGTTCCATGCTGGAACACAATTAAATGTGAAAAAGTCCAAGGAGGGCGGCCTGTAAGCATGTTTTTTATAAGGCAAAAATACGGGTGTACCCAAAGGCATGTAGCAAAACAGAAGGAAGTACAAGATCACCTTTTGGCTCAGCTGCTGTGTCAGTCTACTTGTCCCTTGAAGAAACCGCTGTGTTGACCTGCCTAGGAAGAGAAATGTACAACTGCCACTGGATTGACGGAGAAAAGTTACCTCCCTCACCCACCTGTCCCTCAGCTTGTGGTAACAAGACAGCTTGCACCCTCTTCCTGGCTGGGGGGCCAGAAGACTTACATGCCTTCATGATGGGACACTTTGATACAGTGGAAAGTGGTTGATTCTGAATTTGGTGGTTTGTAACTTGATAAGCTCAATCAACACTTGCCTACAGCCCTCAGAAAGCTCTCTGACATAAACCATAATGACGCGCGTGACAACTGAATGTTTTCTGTGTGTTGCTGCCTCCTTCTATACCCCAGGGAAAGTGGAAACCTCCAGGGACCTTTCCATAGTCCCACAGGCTCCTAACACACTTCCAAAGAGCAGAATATTATTGTTGATGTTTTTGTTGCATTTTATTTAATTTAATTTGATTTATTTACAGTACAACGTTGATCTGTGCAGTGCTGTTACAGTCTTAAATATATAATTTTATTTACACATTATGCAATCAGTTACTCACTGTTATGTGTTTTTCCTATGCCACGGGAGTATGAATTATTTAGAGGGCATTGTGTATTAGTAAATATATAGCAAAATTACACTGGCCCTACACAAATGAATTTACTAGTGGTGTGTAAGTAGCTTAAAATCTTAAATGCACACTTTATATGCATGTTAATGTTGTGCAATGAAGTATATAACCAACTGGCATCAGCTTCTCTGTATAATTGTCAATTACAACCAAACAGAGGTAGAAATCCTGTAGCTGCAGTGCAAGAGGCACTGCTGATGACAAGCTTGAATAGTTCTGCAAGGAGGAAGGAAAAAACACTGACAAACTAGGGTAGGCCTGGTTGGTACAGACCTATCCAAACATAACTATGGCTATAATTGAAGCGAGAATCAACTCAAGGTTTTGTACACTTCTCCAAGCCATTTTTCTAGGTTTTCAGTTGGAATTGCTTTCAGAAGATTTGACCATTTGTTTTTCACTTGGAGGCTGTGTGCTCTAATGTGGAAATAAAGGTAAAGTACATTCTAATTTAACATGTCCTAATTTCAGGCTGTTAGGCCACAAAATGTGTTACCTTGGAAACGGTGTGTAGACGTTCTATAGGCCCATTATATTCTATAGATACAGGATGAGGAGAAGATAATTGTTATGATATCCAGATATGGGGTGTAGGAAAGATGTTGACTTCTGAAGGCCTAAACCTAGATAGGCAGAAAAAATAACCATATGGATTACAGTATTATTATAAAAGCAGGAAAGCAAATCAAGATCAAGATAACCGAAAACTTATCTGTATTGAAGTAACTGAACATTTCATTTCAGGCGTGAAGATCCAATCTGTGTAGGGGTCTTCACTGCAAGCAAGGACTCTCCAAAAGCCTTTGATACACGTGCATTCCACAACCAGGTTACCATGCAGGACAAGCCTTATGTGGTGGTGAAGATTCAATCATAACGGAACGTATAACATTTCAAACGGTGACCATATACTTAGTGATGGTATTTTTACCATCAACACTGGACTGACCACAAGGAGCACTGATGTGAAGGTCTTGTGCTGTAATCTGAGAATATACAATACCTAAGCACTTTTCATATATTACAAATCTAAAAGAGCTTGTAGTTGTAGCAAAGAAAAAAAGGGTGTAGTAATAGATAAAAACAGATAAAATAAATACCTGAAAACAGCGAATCTGTCCCAGTTGCAGATCTTAATTTCTGACACTATTCTGAACTGTATCCAAGAAAAATCTTGCCTACAGGAGACTGTATTGGAGGGCGAGCTGCAGGCCGCAGTGTACACTAACAAAACATGGACAAGAACACCAAAACAGGGGGATACAGCACCTTCATCACACACCATAACTTTCATTATGTGCTTTTCTTAAATTCTCAAGCCAGACATTCTACACCAGGCATGATGGTCTGAGGTCCAGTAGATTCCTTTTTAATATTGTATAGAATTGTTCAGTGCCATTTGCTTTCCTGATGCTAATAGGTGCAACTCCCTCAAGACAAGCAAAAAATGGTACCAATGTTTTTTTGGTATCCCTGAAGTTTAGGACAGAAAACTAACAAAGCTAAGAACTGCTCCAGTGAAGAATTGTTTGTTTAAATCTGATGCTTACAGCTTTCAAAGCTTTAGCAAAATAAAGTAGATATTGTTTCAAACCTTTTTTTCACATGGCAATCCATGAGCAGGCTTCCAAGTGACTTAATATAATCACCTATCAGATCACAAGAATTCCAAGTCAAATTTTCCTGGTTTTGAGAATTAGAGAACTGAGAAAGCAATTTAGTGATCTAGAGATGGTATTTAATGGATCATCTGTGTCACATTTTCAGCTCTATGTACACTTCCTTCACACAAATGGTGGCATGATATTTAACTACAACAATGAGCAGAAAAGAAAATGTACTCTGCATTTTCTCCAATTCCCTAGACCGGAAAAGTATAACCCAATTAAAAACCCCATACTGCTTTACAGCTTCAAGCCAAGCTGTAACCCAACCTTTAGTGCCCCAAAATATTCCACACAAAAGTATTTTCATTCTTAAATCCTGACCTTACCTAGTAATCCAGTAAACATTCCACCAAAACTCCGTGTATCCGTGTCATATGACATCACACTCTAATATTAGTCCTGTTTACAGAACAAAGCTCTCAGATGCATATTGTAAGCAGGGTAAGAAACTGATACAGATGATTTAAAAAAATTGATTCATTCTTCTTCACAATACAGGGTGTAGATATAAATTTAATACCTCTCAATAATGGCTAGGAGCATCTAAGTTTCACCAGAACATAATATACCGGGTGACCATGGTCCAATTTCTGTCTTTAAATGAAAGCCATCTACAAAACTGTGCAGCACTGAAGTGTGGCTAACACTATCCTATTGACAGAAGGTAATCAATGTTTTGCATGACAAAATCAATTACTAAGAAGTTTTCCATTACCTTTCAGATGAATAACATGTTATACAATATAGTATATCCTCAAAAACAAAATAGTAAAAAACAAAACATATTAAAAAGTATGGTTTTACATTTGTTAGTCATTTGTGTTGGAAAATTAGTGTCACTTTGAAACGTTCAGTAATTATAACAGTAAAATATTTATAAGTTAGCAAACATTAACATTCACAGCTTCTACTGATTAACACACTTCTTTTGTAATTATCTAAGGCTTGCAGTAAAAAAAAAATTATAATCCTTTTATAGTCCTGGAAATTTTCAAAATTCATTCTTTTTTTGAATCCATATACACACAATCACACAAAAAAGACACCCCATCTACAAAAAAGTTCTGAATTGATTTAAAGTAAAATGAAGTGAAATATCATTATCTTTGTGAAGTCATAACTTGTTGACTATTACACCATTTACAACATGGTGAAAAAGCAAATAGACCCCCTTATGTTTTTATGGTTTAAAACACTTAAGACAAATTGACCTCCACCTAGTCCTCACCAACTCTTAATAGCAGATAAAACTAATCTCATTTGACAAATAATACATAAAAATTCGACTTTGTCATTTCTTTAAAAAAGAATCAGCAAGCATTCAATATCTATGGGAGTATTTACCTTCTGTTTACTCATAAAAATCACTGATTTAGATTTAGAAATCTAACAAAGTTCAGAGGTTGCGAAACCTTACTGAAAAAGGAGTTCGACATGAATTGGTAAGACAGAACAAAATTGTAAAAAAAAACACTTAAGTTATCATCTTTAGCAAAAACTCTGGAAGTGTTTTTTTATTAATAAACTTAAGATGAATATATAAGATGAATATCTGTGGAGCACTGAAGGTGAAAGCACTTCTGTCAGTGACTGTATCATTTAATTTCCCAAAAACATGTCTTTTACCCAAAAAAAAAAACTTTGACATTAAACGTTGCTTTGGACAAAACATCTTTTGAGTCCCCTGAGCTGTAAGAGTGCCATATTCAGAAATGGCTTTCCTTGTTTTCTGACAAAATACTGAATTATCTAGTTATAAGGTTGCCTTAATGCACCAATTTACACAAGACCTATTAACACCCATTATCCATCTCCAACTGTAATAACCAGGCTACTCAGAACATGGGACATCCATCTGTAAAAAGAATGAGTCATAGCATTTTTAAAATTGGAAAAAAAATTTAATGCAAATATGAAAGACGGTTAACAATAAAACGAGTTAACAGTGAACAAAAATGCTTGAATCCAACTATAGGCTGCAGTATCTATGCCACATTTGCAAGGTAATGAAAACTGAACAGAAAATAAAACCTGATTTTTTTCCTACTGAGTGCCTAAAATATGTCTGGGGCTTGAGAGAGGCCTCATTTTAGACACTAATTACGGATACATTTTCAATATTTAAATAGCTCATGCATTCTTTAATTTCTTTGAAAACATTAGGACTGATGACATCAATAAAGCACTTGCTATGAGCAACTAACAGCGAGAGCATTCTTTTATTGAAGAGTACTCAGAGACAGCAAAAAGCTCACTTTTATGGAAATCCTCACACTGCCAGTGTCTCTAACTACAATGTTTAGATTGGTCTGGACAAAATTAAAGATGTTACTTAAGAACTCCAGAACAAAATCCACTTGTGAGTATTAAAACCCGTTTCCTCTTAGAAAAAAAAACTGGATCTTGATCATTTGTTTAAAAAAACCTTGCACGGCATCGTGCCAGTCTGGAGGCTTCAGTTCGCTTGCACAGGCCCTCAATTCTGTATATTTCAAGTCCTAAATCAAAGATGACGACACCCAATACCTCTGAGAATGCATAAACATCTTTAAATATTAAAAGCGAGCAGGTATTTTAAAGTACTTATGAAGAACAGAATTTGCAAAACAGTCACAAAGAAAATAAAACACCTTCCCCGCATTCTTGATCAGCTACCATCTTCAACTTCAACCATGTCGAGATTTTTGGTCTTTTGTAAAATTTCTGCTTCCTCGTAGTTGAAGTTTGCTTCAGTGTCCTAAAAGACCAGTACCTAAAAGAATCATTCAACATTTTAGGTTAATGAGAGAGATCATATATACGCATGACATAAATAAATGTTTACAAATATTGAGGTGTTTTTAATATCAGTAATATACCAAACAGTTATTTCTAGACCTGAAAACAATTCAATTAAATTTAGTTCATTAAAAAACTTAACATATATCAGAGCTCCAAAATAAAAAGATTACTACTGGAACACACATAAGAAACAATTTGTTATACAAAAGGACATTAATTTACAGGCCTCTTCTCAGAAGTAGCGTTGGTAGATTAGGGTAAACCTCGTTTCTCGGTCATGATATCACCACAAAGTCTATATAGCCTCTGACAACATTGTCAAGGTATGATGAGTATAAATCACAGGTTTAAGAGTATGCTCCACATCTCATTGTTCCAAGGGGTGACAAGATGGAACACACATTTCTGCACATTTTACCACTAACCAAAATATCACCAGAGAATATATTTAAGAATATGCAAAACTGAGAATTATTCAACTACT